TGTCATCTTCACAAAAAGGAGCCCTAGCGGCACAACAGTTAAGTGCTTGGGTGCTAACTGAAAGGTTGGTGGTTCTAACCCACCCAGTGGTTCTAAGCAAGAAAGCCCTGGTGACCTGCTCCCATAAAGATTACAGTCTAGGAAACTCTATGGGGCAGTTCGGCTCTGCTACCCGGCATCCCTGTGAGTTGAAAGTCAACTCCACGACACATGACAACAATATTAACAATGTTTATGGAAGCCAATTGCAGGCCTGTCATCTGTGGAATGGCAGGGTAGATGTAAACCAGCAACCTTTAGGTTCTTAGCCAAGAGCAAAACTGTTTGTGCTTCCCCAGGGACCTTGGGGCCCTTCTGAGAACTCAGACTAGTGGCTACTCCTGATGATGGCTTAGGCCACTCTATGCTCTCTTTAGCCATGGAATCCACCCAGTTTCGAAACCCCATACGGAAAGACCCTGTTCTGGCATAAGATCCTCTGAGGCCTGTTGTAGGGCGAAAGGGCAGAGTTGGGTTGAAATGAAAAAGGAAGGAGCATTTATGGAAAAACAAGACAATTTGCAAATCAAGAATCACAAAGGATTCCAAACTAAGTGATCCAAGGAGGAGACAGTTCAGAGACTTTATAGAAGACAATACAAGGAACTGCAGTAAAAATTCAGTGATTGGTTGACATTTAGGTAAAGGTTACAAAGTTTCTAAAGTTTTTTTTTTTTTAATAAGTAACAAGTCATCATTAAATTGGGTACATCTGGCCAATCTCAGGATAGTCACTGAGACCTTCGACAGCAGGGAGGACATGCGTACTTCTAGTTTGTTTTTGAGGTGACATCTGTTCTGAGAATTCTTTTGGACCTGGCCTGCTAGGCAGCAGACAAAACCAGTGAGCAAACCAAATTACATTATTTTCTGAAAGTGGTGACCAAGTCGTTTTCTCGGGAGAAGTTACAGGGAGAGTTATAGGGATGACTGTTTTCAGGTTGTATTCCTGATGGCCAGGATACTTTTCATTCGAATGGAGTTTTAGCCTCCGAGCTTAGCATCGCTGGCCACATGTCGGGAGCCCTCAGTTAATTTGGGGTGCTCTTACTCAGGCCCAAGCTACTTGAGTGTCAAATTGTCACCCAAGCCAGAAGTTCAGAAATGATGTCCATCGTCTCGTCCTCCTGCTGTCCACCTCACACATTTCCAGCTCCCCAAGTTCCAAATTCACAGGTCCGATCCCAGCCTTGGTCCCAGCTGTCCCCAAGGCAGGGTGTCCTGGAGACGCCTGTGGTTTCTATTGCATCAGGGTAAGTGGCTCCAAGGGGAAGGAAGGAAGCATTGGAGTGCCCTCTCTCCCCTGGTGACCCCACGTGAGCAGAACTGCTCCCTCGGCTTTTCACGGCTGTGGCCTTTGGGAAGTGGCGCACCAGCCCTGGTGATCTGGGTGGATTGGAACCGCCAACCTTTCAGTTAGTGCACGTGCATGAACTGTTTGCATCATCCAAGGTCATGGAGTCCCTTGGGGTTGCCCAGTGGGAAGCAATTCCATGGCAACCAAGCACCTCACAGGAGCTCCTGGGAGGTGTGAATGGTCCATGGGCTGAGCGACTAACAGGAAGGGTGGCCGGTGGCCCTTAGAGGCCGCGGAAGAAAGGCCAGCTGATGTACTTGGTCATTGTGGTTGTTGTTGTTTACCATCGAGTCGGACCCGACTCATACCGACCCCTCCTTGGGTTCCGAGGCGGTATCACTACGGAAGTAGATACCAAGGAGTGGCTGGTGGGTTTGAACCGCCAGCCTTCTAGTTAGCAGTCAAGTGCCTTAGGCACTGCGCCACCAGAGCTCCTACCTTCACAGAAGCAAAGCCCAAACCAAACCCAGTGCCTGGAGGGGATTCTGACCCACAGCGCCCCTAGAGGACAGAGTGGAACTGCACCACAGGGTCTCCAAGGCTGTCAGTCTTTATGGGAGCAAAGCCCAAACCAAGGTCACTGCCATTGACTTGACTTGACTCAGAGCGACCCCTCCTTGGGTTTCCAAGGTGGTATCACTAGGGAGCTCTGGTAGCATAGTGGCTAAGGCACTTGACTGCTAACCAGAAGGCTGGCGGTTCAAACCCACCAGCCATTCCTCGGAAGGAAGATGTGGCAGTCTACTTCCGGAGTGATACTGCCTCCGAAACCCAAGGAGGGGTCGCTATGAGTCGGGTCCGACTCGACGGCACATAACAACAACAACAACATCACTAGGGAAGTAGATACCAAGGAGTGGCTGGTGGGTTTGAACCGCCAGCCTTCTGGTTAGCACTCAAGTGCCTTAGGCACTATGCTACCAGAGGTGGTGGTTAGGTGCCTCTGAATTGATTTTGACTCATGGCGACCCCATGTGACAGTAGAACTGGCCTCATAGGGTTTTCTAGGCTTGTAATCTTCACAGGAGCTGATGGCCAGGTCTTTCACCCCCTTGCAGAGCCTCTGGGTGGACCCGACCCGCCAACCTTTCAGTGTGCAGCTGAGCGCTTAATAATTGCGCCACCAGCTTACACTGAAAGGTCACAGCCTTGAAAACTCTATGGAGTACAGGTCTGAAGGGCATGCATGGCATTGGTGTGAGTCAGTGTTGACTTCACAGCACCTGGTTTGGTTTTGGTTGCTGAGTGATGTCATTCCCAGGCACGTGGCTTGGTGGGCCTCCGGGCTCCTGACATTCCATCCCCTCAACCCTGGCCGACCCGTCACCAGGGGCTAAGCATGGAAGCTCTTCCTGATGATGAGAACTTCCCAGGCAATTTGGATCCCAAAGGCTGTACTAACTACATCACTGATTCTGCTGCCTGGGGCATCCTCTCCATGGCAATGGGCCCGTGATTCCACATTGCTTCCCCACAGCCCTGTAGCCTCCAGACACCTGCCTCCAACCATCACAACAGAGCCTCTCACCTCTGCATGCTGCACCCGCAGTTCTGACCTAAGACCCAGCCCCTTCCGGGACCCAGTTGCTAAGGGCAGCTTTCTTGTTAGTTGGCATTGCGTCAGTCCGTGACTCACGGCGATGTACTGATGCCCTGTGCACAGCAAATGAAACACTGCCTGGTCCTGCCTGACCCCCACGGTTGTGGGGATGGGACGGACCACGGTAATCCACAGGGTTACAATTCATTGGCTGAATCGTCAGCCCTTGCCCCTAGTCTGTCAGCCCTTGTTCCTAGTCTGTCTTAGTCTGGAAGCTCCGTTGAAATCGGTTCAGTATGGAGGCGACATGCAAAGCCTCCACTGACAGACTCAGAGTGGCTTTACAGGAGGTGCACTGGCGGGAATCGAACCCGGGTCTCCGCATAGAAGGGGCCAATTCTACCACGGAACCACCACAGCCGCAAGGGCAGGCTAGCAAGAGTTTGCGAGGGTCATGGCTGCCTCATCTCACCTCACCCTCCCATCCCCCTCACGCCTGTCCCCCTTTCTCTCCTCAGAAGTCCACCCGGGCGGTTAGCAAGGTCCACGCCTTCGGCAAGAGGGCCAATGCTCTTCGAAGGGACCCCAACCTCACCGTGCACATCCGAGGCTGGCTTCACAAGCAGGTAGAACTCGGGGGAAGGGAAGGGACGCGCAGAGTGACAGTAGAGGCTGTGCCCCGGGCTGTGTGCAACTCCTTTTTTCTCTCCTTCCAAGTCCCCAAATGTCTTTCTTTTTTGCAATCACTGCCTTCCCCATATTGTGTCCCTCATTCATTCCTTGTCGATCTCTTGAACTCTTACAAAGTGGGATCTTGGCAGGGCCTCCAGGGCGAGGAGTTACGAAGAGGCGCATTGAAGGTACACACGGGGGGAAGAGGCGTGGCCTGGGCTTATATTCACCAATCATTACCCTCTGTGTGGGAGGTGGCCAATCACCATCTTCTTTGGGATCTGCCCATGCAAATAACATAAATAAGCTTCTTTGTTACATTCAAAGGGGCTCTGGTAGCGTGGTGCCTAAGGCACTTGACTGTTAACCTGAAGGCTCGAGGTTCAAACCCACCAGCCACTCCTTGGAAGGCAGGTTGGGCAATCTGCTTCCATAGTGATACCTCCATGGAAACCCAAGGAGGGGGTCGTTATGAGTCTGTCTGGCTTGAGAGCACATAACAACAATAACAACATTACATTCAAGACCAGGGTGGGATGGGGACAGATGATAAATTAGTAAATAAATTACAAATGTGATGATTTCAGATTGTAGTGATTGCTGGAAGGAGCCCTGGTGGGGCAGTGGTTAAAAGGGGCAGCTGCTAACCGAAAGGTCGGCGGTTTGAACCCATCAGCAGCTACGCCGCTCCACAGGAGAAAGATGAGGCAGTCGGCTTCTGTAAAGATTGGCAGCCTTGGAAACCCTGTGTTGCAGTTCCACTCTGTCCTCTAGGGGCGCTGTGGGTCAGAATCGACTCCACAGCAGTGGGTGTGGTTTGGGCTTTGCTTCTGTGAAGATTGACAGCCCTGGAGACCCTGTGGTGCAGTTCCACTCTGTCCTCTAGGGGCGCTGTGAGTCAGAATGGACCCCATGCCAGTGGGTGTGGTTTGGGCTTTGTTTCCCTAAAGATTGACAGCCCTGGAGACCCTATGGGGCGGTAGGACTGCCCTGTGGGGGTGAGATCCTCTGGAGGAGAGCAGATCGTGTTTGGCAGTGAGTGCTGTGAAGAAGTGACACAGGGATTGTGATTAAAAACAAAGAGAAAAATTGGGAAGAGGATGAGGGGCTACCTTTGATTGTTGGTCCTGCAAGGCCTCTCTGAGGAGATGGCATTTGAGCTAAGAACTAGGTGACAAGGAGTCCGCCCTGCTAAGACCTTGGGGTAGAGGGGCTCGGAAAGCTAAAGCCCTCCAGGCGATAGCTTGGTGTTGCCAGTGAGAGGGAGCGAGGTGGTGGTGGGGGACAGAGGCCAGATTGCCTGGGGCAGCGGGTCTCAAGGCGGGGATCCTGACCACATCTTCAGTGTCATCTGAGAAGTAGCTAAAAATTCAAATGATCACCACAACACGCTGTTATCATATTGCATCAAATACGATCTTACACCCCCTTCTCTCTGAGTCTCTGTTCTCTCTCTCTCTGTGTCTCTGACCCCTTCTCTTTGGATCTCTGTCCCTCTCTCCCTGGGTCTCTGTCCCTCTCTCTCTGGGTCCCTGCCCTCTCTCTAGACCTCTGTCCCTGGATGTCACTGTCATCGTCCCCTCTTTACTCTGCCCTGTAGTCAGGCCTTTGCTCCCACTCTCTCCCCCCAGGACAGCGCTGGGCTCCGGCTCTGGAAACGCCGCTGGTTCGTCCTCTCTGGCCATTGCCTCTTCTATTACAAGGGTCAGTACCCCGGCTGGAATGGGATGGGAGGGCCCCCTGCTCTAGTCTTTTACCTCCTGACTCCTGGGGGAATCCCTGACCTCAGCCCCCGTTTTGCAGACAGCCGCGAGGAGAGCGTCCTGGGCAGCGTCCTGCTGCCTAGCTACAGTATCAGGCCAGATGGACCGGGAGCCCCCCGAGGGCGGCGCTTCACTTTCACCGTGAGTTCCTCTGTCCCCCGTGGGCACAAGGCGCAGAAGGCTTGATGGGAGGAGATAAAAGGGCTTGACCGGGGTTCATGGCGTCCTTTGTAGAGGACCGGGGCGTCCGAGTTCCCAGCCCTCTCTTCTCCCAGGCAGAGCACCCGGGCATGAGGACCTACGTCCTGGCGGCTGACACCCTAGAGGACCTGCGAGGCTGGCTTCGGGCGCTGGGCCGCGCCTCCCGCGCGGAGGGTGATGATTGGTGATTATAGCCCCCAAGCCACGCCCCTTTCTCGATTTCTCAGGGTCAGCTTAATCGTTTCTAACTCCTCCCCCTGGAGGCGCCTGCCCCCTAAAAGGAACGCCCAATCATCATTCTTCTAGCTAAGGAGGCTCCGCCTTTCTGTCCCCGCCTCTGGGAAGCTCCTCCCATCAGCTACCGTTTGTCCCTTCTAAGCTCCGCCCTCTAGAACTGATCCTCCTATCTCAGCCCACCAATTATCAGATAGACAGTCTCAACCCACCAATTATAAGTAGTCCACACACACTGATTTGATTGGAGGCTTCAGAGTCTCCGCCCCCTTATGCTGCTGCTTAAACATCTCAAAAAGTCTTGTGAACTTCAGACCGCAAGCCGGTTCTCAGGTTCTGAATTGACGTGGTCCAATTATCAAGTTGAAGACCCGGCCTCCCTGGCTCATTCTATCTTAGAATCCGGGGCTACTGGATCGAGAAATCACTTCCACCCTCCAGCCTCAGGTTCCCCATCGGCAAAATAGGGTCATGATCTAGTTCACCACCTTCCGTCTGTGTCCTCGTCGGTGAATAGAGAATAAGAGCTGTTCTAAAGTTCAAAGAGATCCTGGCTTTTTCTGTGCCCTCTCGCTAGTGGACGGCCCAGGTCTCCCGCACGTCCCCAGCCTGGGGAGGGCCCTGGCGGCCCCGGTGGTCCCCCGGAAGTGAGCAGAGCAGAAGCGCGCCACAGTCCAGAATCCCCGGAGGTAGCGCGTCTCTCTAGAGGGCGTGGCGGACCCAGGCTGCTGACTCCCAGCCCCACAGCCGACCTCCAGTCCGGACCCCGGATTCGAAGGGCGAGGAGTCCGGAGTGAGTGGGAACGAGAAGTCTGGAGACAAACGGTTTTATGGGGGAGGAAATTCGATGCAGAGGGCGTGGGGTATGAGAAGGGCGGCGCCTGTTGGAAAGTCAAAGCAATTAGTACAGATTAGGAGGCTTGGCTGAGTATAGTGTCTGTGTTGCAGGGTTCTTGGGGGGGAGGTGTCAGATCCCAATGGAGGAGAAGTGCTACAAATGGGAGATATTGGGGGTCCGATGAATAAAAGACGGTTCTACTTCAGTGAGGCACGGTGAAGAAAGATAACGCCTTTCAGGCTGGTTTAGTGGGTACTGGGTGGATGGGTGGAGCTCTGGTGGCGAAGTGCCTAAGTCATCAGACTCATAGCCAGAAGGTTGGTGGTTCAAACCCACCACCCACTCCGTGCAAGCAAGACTGGGCAATCTACCGTAAAGATTTACCGCCTGGAAAACCCAATGGGGGTCGCTATGAGTGGGAATCCACTCGATGGCAGTGCGTTTGGGTTTTATGGGTGGATGGGTGGAACTCTAGTTCACATAGTTTCCCGACTCTCTCCTCCCCACAGCTTGTTCACACCCCTCTCTCCCCCTCCTTCTCCTCTGAGCCTCCCCCGGCCCCGTTCGGCTCCGGCGCGCAGACCCCCTCCCTCCTCAGGAGACATAGTACCCCCAGCCCGTCCTCACACCCCCCTGAGTCGCATCGATGTCCGGCCACCCCTGGAATGGGGTCCCCAGCGCCGGACCCTCTCCCGACCCCCCACTCCCCGCCGAGGACCCCCGTTTGAAGCTGGGGCAGGAAGGCCTCCGAGGAGTCCCCAGCACTGGAGTCAGGAGCCCAGAACGCAAGTCAGCAGAGAGGTAAGGGAGAAGGGGCCTCTATCTCCCATCAGGCATCAGGGATGTCTTTGCAGGCTAGACTCTGGCTATTGCCCCGTAAAGCATCATGGGGATTGTAGTCCAGAATACTCAGGCTGGGCTGGGAGAGGGAGACTACCTTGCATCTGCCTTGTGTCCGTAGATTATCTTTCCAACTTGGTCACCTGCTCTTTTCCTCTGAGAGTCAGGGGACTGTGGTTCAGAAAACCCACAGCTAGTCATCCACGTGAGAGTGGATCGTGACTCCCATCAGCGCTGGGGCTGTGTTTATTCATTTGTTAGTTTTAATTGTGGGAAATAAATATGTCAGGGGCAGGCCTGGTGACATCTACTCCTAAAAAAATCAGGCAGTGTGAATTCAGTTTTCGTATAACACTTCTACTCTGAGACACGTGGGGTCAACATGAGTCAGAATAGATGTCAACTGGTATAAATTTATATGTCATCAACTCTCTGGGAGCTCTGTAGCATAGTGCCTAAGGCACTTGACTGCTAACCAGAACGCTGGCGGTTCCAACCCACCAGCCACTCCTCAGAAGGAAGATGGGGCAATCTACTTCCATAGTGATACCGCCTCGGAAACCCAAGGAGGGGTCACTATGAGTTGAGTCTGACTCCACGGCAGTGAGTTTGGTTTTGGAATAAACTCTCTAAGGAGCTCTGGTGGTGTAGTGCCTAAGGCACTTGACTGCCCACCAAAAGATTGGCAGTTCAAACCCACCAGCCACTCTGTGGGAGGAAGACTGGGCAATCTACTTCTGTAAAAATTTCGCACCTCAGAAACCCAAAGGGGGTCGCTATGAGTCAGAACCGACTCGATGGCAGTGAGTTTGGCTTTTTGGTTTACTAATCTCTGCCATTTCCACGTTGCTCACATGAACAATTCAGGGACATTAGGTTGGTCGTGTTTTCCAACCGTCACCTCACCACCATCTATTTTCAAAAATTTCCGATCCCCCTTTTTTCCAATACACCTCGTGGGGCTGTTTTAATATTTTATTTTATTTGTTGTTGGGAAGATACACAGTAAAACATCCATCAATCCAGCCATTTCTGCATGTACCGTTCAGTCGCACTGATGACATTTTTCACGTTGTCCGACCATTCTCACCCTCCTTTTCTGAGTTGTCCCTCCTCCATTAACATAACATCACTGTCCCTGAAGTTTCCGATCTAATCTTTTGAGTTGCTGCTGTCAGTCTTATGCCACAGAGATAGATCTCAAAGGGGCACCATCCTTACGGCAGACGTCCTTTACTGGTTAAGCTAAACTATTGTTTGGTTTTAAGAAGACTTCAGGGGATAGTTTTGGCTTAAGGTTCAAAGATTATCTCAGGACAATAGTTTCAGGAATTCATCCAGATTCAATGTCTCAGGGAAGTCTGCATTCCATGAAAATCTGAAATCCTGTTCTGCAGTGTCCCCCTTTTGATCAGGATTCTGCTATAGAATCCCTTGGTCAAGATGTTCAGGAATGGTAGCCGGGGACTGTTCAAGGGGCTGTTTTGCTGGACGCATCCACTTACGGGTGTCCCCATAGTGGCGCATAACTGGAGAGGTGGGTAGTTGAGGAAGTTGAGGGGAGCCCAGTTCTGAATCTGAAAAAGTTTCCTAAGGGACTTCAGTTCTTGACACACCTATTCTAATACTTGTTGCTAAACTGTTGTTGTTGTTATGTGCCGTCGAGTTGGACCCGACTCATAGCAACCCCTCCTTGAGTTTCCAAGGCAGTATCATTACAGAAGTAGATTGCCCAACCTTCCTTCCAAGGAGTGGCTGGTGGGTTTGAACCGCCCGCCTTCTGGTGAGCAGTCAAGTGCCTTAGGCACTGCACCACCAGAGCTCCTACCTTCACAGAAGCAAAGCCCAAACCAAACCCAGTGCCTGGAGGGGATTCTGACCCACAGCGCCCCTAGAGGACAGCGTGGAACTGCACCACAGGGTCTCCAAGGCTGTCAGTCTTGATGGGAGCAAAGCCCAAACCACACCCACTGGAAGCAAAGCCCAAACCAAAGTCAAAGTCACTGCCATTGACTTGATTTGACTCATAGCGACCCCTCCTTGGGTTTCCGAAGCAGCATCACTACGGAAGTAGGTTGCCCCATCTTCCTTCCGATGTTGCTAAACTAAATGGCATCGAATCAACTCTGACTCCTGGAGACCCCATGCATGTCAAAGTAGAAACTACTCCATGGGGTTGTTAAGAGCTGGTTTTTTGAAGGTAAATTCCCAAACCTTTGTTCTGAAGGGCTTCTGGGTAGACGAACCTCCAACCTTTTGTTCAGCAGCTAAGCACATTAACGATTTATGCTACTCAGGGACTCCAATGCTTGTTACCAAGACATGCCGATTTCTAAATGTCTCTGTGTTTAATATGCTTCCCAGGCCCCTTCTGGCTCTGCCACGTATCTCCAGCTCCCTCCAAGGCCTCCTGGAAGCCGGGCCTCCATGGTTTTATTGGTGGGTACCCTAGGACCCCGCAAGGCTACCAGAGCCCCTTCCCTTGCTTGCTTTGCTATGGGGAATGTCGTCTCCTGGCAGTGGGGACTAGTGTCTGGAACAGACTGGATGGTTCAAGGTTCCGGGATAGGAGTTTGGAGTCCCTGGGGGGGTGCCAACAGTTAACTCACTCCCTGCCAGGTGGAAGGTTGGCCATTCAAGCCTACCCAGAGACACCTTGGAAGAAAGTCCTAGTTCTTTTACTTCTGAAAAATCAGACATTGGAAACCCTGTGGAACACAGTTCTACCCACACACGGGGTCTGCATAAGTCAGAGTGACATGACTGTAGTCGGTCGGTCGGTTGCATGCTCAAGAGTTTTCAGGTTGCAAGGATGGGGTCTTTCCTGGTAACAAGACCTAGGAGGACCTGAGCCCCATCTGTGCCCATCTCTGCCCTTTGGAAATGCCTTGTGATAAGACACGGTGACAGAACGCATATGAGCTTTCTGTAGCTGCTGTAACAAAGTAACCCAAATCGGATGGCTTAAAACCACAGGAATGCCTTGTCACACGGTTCTGGAGGCGGGAGTCTACAGTCAAGGGATTGGTAGGGCCGTGCTGGCTCTGAAGGTTCTCGGGGAAGGGCCCTCCTTGTCTCTTCCTCGCTTCCGTGGTTCCTGGCAACCCTCGGGGTTCTTGGGTTGTAGACGCATCCTTCCAAACCTTTAGGTTAACCATCACCTCCTTGCAGTTAACAAGTGAGGTTTGCAAGGGCATGGGATAAAGAGAAGTGAAGTGTGTGTGTGTAGAACAGGACTTGGTCAGCCCTGAGCTACCATGAGGACCTGTCTTTTCCACGTGATCCTGATTTTTCTCCCTCTCCTCAGCCGGGCCCCCCTCTGGACTCAACCTTCCATCAGAGCTTAGAGACAGATGTAAGTTCTTCCCATTCCAACCCCTAGTGAGCTCCCAAAGTTAGGGAGAGACTGTTCTGGGAGGTGGGGGAGCCAGGGAGAAGAAAAGCCAGTTTTGGTCCCTAAATAGCTCTCGCTCTCCTTTCTTCAAGGCGCTTTCTTGGCACTGTGGTTAAAGCATGGGGCCACTAACCAGAAGGTTGGCAGTTCAAAGCTGCCAGCTGCTTCATGGGAGAAAGATGACACAGTCTGCTTCTGTAAAGATTTACAGCTTTGGAGAGCCTAGGGGGCAGTTCCACTCTGTCCTACAGGGGCACTGTGAATCGGAATCGACTAACGGCAGGGGCTTGGGTCTCCTTTCTCCAGACTCTCTTGACCAAGTTGTGTGGGCAGGACCGGCTTCTGAGGAGACTGCAGGAAGAGATAGACCAGAGGCAGGAGGAGAAGGTACATACCTAAGGCCCGCCCTTTCCTCTCTAAGCCATGCCCTTTCCTCTCTAAGCCCCACCCTTTCCTTGCTAAGCCCCACCCTTTCCTTGCTAAGCCCCTCCACTTCATCTCAGGGGGCGGGGCTTCATGATGAGCCCTATCCCTTAGCTCTAATTCCCCTCCTTTATAAGCCCTCCCTCATCCACGGGTGTTAATTGTCACCCAGCACCAACCCAGCACCATCACAAACAAGGCAGGACTATCACAGGAAGGCTAGTTAACCCTTGGAAATCAGTCCGTCAGTCCTCCGGCTGTCTGGCTGCCCTTGGCCATTTTTTCTTCTTTTTGGGGGGGGTGGTGGTGTGAAAGTTCACAGAGCCAATTCATTTCCCATACAGCAGGTCATACACATTTTGCTTCATGACATTGGCTATAATTCCCCACAATGTAACTGCTCTCTTCCTACTTCCTCCCCTTAGTCACCTCTTCCCTGGGTCCTTCCCTCCCATGCACTCCCACCCCCCCACCCCTGCCAGCTGTCTCCCTGTGCAAACACTGCCCTTCTGTTCTCCCACAATTGATAGCTCCAAGGAGTGTAGCCAGCTAATGGAAATGTTCACCCCATAGGCCTGTCTGTTGTTTGGCTGGAAGCCACAGGGGTGAGTTCAATTCCAGACCTGAAAGGGTAGCTAGGGGCCCTAGATTCAGGGGTTTCACCAGGCTCTATCAGACCAGAAAACCTGGTCTTTTTTTTTTTTTTTTTTTTTTTTTTTTTTTTTTTTGATTTTTTTTTCACATTGTTCTCCCACTCTATCCAGTATGTCCTTCATAGATCCCCCTCCGAGTGGCTGACAGTGGTAGCCAGGCACCACCTAGTTCTTCTGCTCTCATAGTCATATAGGCTGAGGATCACATGGTGTACCAGTGGCTAGGACTAATTGTTTCCGTGAATGTTTGGTTTTCTTCTTTCTTTGCTCTGGACGAGGAGAGACCCTTTGTTGCATCTAGATGGCCGCTTGCAAGCTTTAAGACCCCAATTGCTGCTCACCAAAGAACAGTGTTTTTGTGTAGTATGTTATGCCAATGAGCTTGATGTCCCCTGAGACCATGGTCCTGAGCCCACAGGTCCAACTGCTTGCTCCTTCCAGGTAGCTGGCTGTGGCCAAGAAGCCGCCACAACCTCGCCCCTGTCAGCTCTACTCTACACCTGGACATTCTTACAGCACTTACAAATATGCTTGTAGAAACATCCTCTGCCAACCCTGTAGGTGGCCATGACCGCCCTTGGCCATTCTCCGTCTCCCAGGAGGCTGGCTGTGGGCTCAGCAGTCTGCCCTCCTCCTGGTGCAGGAGCAGCTGGAAGCGGCTCTGGAACTGACCCGGAAGCAGTTGAGCCAAGCTACCAAGGAGCCTGGGGCCCCTGGGAAGGCCTGGGGACGCCAGCGCCTCCTGCAGGACCGCCTGGTCAGCGTGCGGGCCACTCTTTGTCACCTGACTCAGGTGAGTTTCCGGAAGGGCCACTGACTGCCTGGATAGCCCGTGATCCTGAGGTTCTTACTGAAGGGGCCTTGCCCCAAGGGCTCATGAGAAGCTAGTTCTTGATTCCTTCCACCCCAGTTTTTAAACCTGTTATCTTTACTGTCAAGGGGCAAGTGGGCAAGAAACAGCAGAAGTTAGTTATGCGGTTTAAGAGGGTAATTTTGATACGGGCTTTCTGGCTTTGAATCTCAGTCGCCATAGTCACTGTGTGACCGTAGAAAAGTTACTTAACCCCTCTGGGCCTTCGATACTTCCTGTGTAAACTGGCGAGCCTTGGTGGCACACTGTGGTTAAAGCACTCGACTGTGAACGGAAAAGTCTGCGGTTGGAACCCCCCAGCCGATCCATAGAAGAAAACTGTGACAGTCGGCTCCCAGAAAGCCTCACAGCCTTGGAAACTCTACAGGGCAGTGGAACTCTGTGTTATAGGGTTGCTGTGCATTGGGATCCACCTCCCAGTAATGGGGTTTGGTTAGTTGTCTACACTGACCAGTGACTGCTGAGGTCCCGCTTCGACTTCCGGGATTCCCAGGAGTCCGAGCAAAGAGGCCCATGGGAATTGTAGTCCTTATACCCACCCCACCCTCCCACCCGCCGCAGGGTCTAGGCCTCCCCTGCTCTTGGCAACTGGGAAAAGGTGGTGCGGATGGGCCGAGGAAGCATCCGGCAGGTGGGGCTGCTAACCCGTGTCTTCTCCTCTCTGGGGCCCCAGGAGAGGGAGCGGGTTTGGGATGCGTACAGTGGCCTGGAGCAGGAGCTAAGCACCTTGCGGGAGACCCTGGAGTACCTGCTGCATCTCGGCTCCCCCCAGGTACATCCCGACCCCCCCACCACCACTACGTTTCCAAGCCCCACCCTCTACTCCGGGTCTTCCTTCAAACCCATTTAAGCTCCTCCCACAGGACTGAAGCTCCTCCCACTTTACCCCAGAGCCCTTCTGCTCCCTGCCATTATCCCCTTTTGGTGGTAAGATCCTGCCCTTGATTTCACGCTCTGCCTTCAGACTGTGAACCACCCCCACCTTCCTACCCCCATTCAGGTTCTTAATCTCTTTTCTTATTTTGAAGCCCTGCCGTTAGGCTCAAAACTCCACCCCTCAGTGCTGTCTGCATCCCCAAGTTCATCTCTCCCCTTCTGCATCCTGACCTTGGCTGTTAAACTTACCCTCTGGGGCTTCCGGTTCTAAACTCCACTTAGTTCAAGCTCCACCCCTAAAGTATGTTGTTGTTGTTATGTGCAGTCCAGTCGGACCCGACTCGTAGCGACCCCTCCTCGGGTTTCCAAGGCGATATCACTACGGAAGTAGATTGCCCCATCTTCCTTCTGAGGAGTGGCTGGTGGGTTTGAACCGCCAGCCTTCTGTTTAGCAATCAAGTGCCTTAGCCACTATGCTACTAGAGCTCCCACCCCTAAAATATAAGCCCTACGTCTTAGGCACGGACTGACTTCGTTCTCAGTCAGGCAATGGCTTTCTAAACCATGTTGTCTGGTCAGTTCTGCCTCTTGGCAACTAGGAAGAAATGCCTGCTGTACTACTTCTAATGAAAACCCTATAAATTCATGACAGAATATTGCCGGATAAGATGGTGTGGGGCTGGATGACCTCTTGTCCTCGTGTATGTAGGTCCCTTTGAGTTGGAGCTGATTGAGATGCCACTAACATTATTTCCAACAGAGGTTACACCGCAAAGTGGTACAGAAAGGACAGTCGTTTCAGTAAATGGGCTGGACCTGTGGGTTATCTATTTGGGAAAATAAAACACAAATTCTGATCCCTAAGGGATTTGACTCGATGGCAGTGGGTTTGGTTTTTAATAAGTATAGTGCAGGGAGTCTCTGAGTGGCCTGCTTCTCTAAGTTCTCAGTCACTGTTGTGGTCACCCAGTGCCACTCTGACAGGAGTAGACCACCAATGGGATGGCTGAACAAACAGGAGTTTATTCTCCTACAGTTTGGAGGCTAGAAGTCCGAGGTCAAAGTGCCAGGCTCTAGGGACTGGGTGAAAGCCCCTCGACCTTGGGCTTCAGCTCTGCCTCTTGCTCCCAACCCACTGAAGCTAGAGGCGTTTCTTCACTCAGGCAGCTACTGGCTGCTGAGGCTGACAAACCCAAGGTTGACAAGTAAAAAGGCACAGTCCTGATGTTACCAAACCACACGGCAGGCCATTGATTCAAGTCCATTGTAAGTCCCAAGGTCGGCAGAGCATGGCAGGCTGCTGAACAACGACATGGCTTCATGCAGGTTCAAGTGTGCCACAGGCTAGAGACCGTTCCCAAAGCTGCTACTTTATACGGGAAGCAGCCCACATCCCCAAAGCAGCTACTCAGTAGCTCCAGTAGATTCCACCGTGGAGTTCATTACCAACCTCACCATGGGGAGTAACTACGTTCAGCTGCCCAGCCACTCAACCAGGCCCAGCCAAGTTGACACACAAAGTTAACCACCACAGTCATGAAAACTCTGTGGAGCGATTCTTCTCTGAAACACCCGAGAGGGCGCCATGAGTCAGAATTGACGCTGTGGCATCTGGAAGAACGGGGTGGAAACGGGCCCAGTGATGGCAGCTGCCTTCTCTGGTCCGTGAGCTGGAGCCTTGTTGCACTTTCCCACCTTTGGGCACCCAGTGCCTCGCCTCGCTCCTGGTTCTTCCTCCTTAGGACCGAGCATGCGCTCAGCAGCAGCTGTGGATGGTGGAAGACACCCTGGCAGGTCTCGGGGGCGCCCAGAAGCCAGCCTCCCACACTGAGCCTGGCCCGCCAGCCGCCGTGCTCCAAGGCGAGGAGTCTTCAGAGAGGGAGGTGAGGCTCATGCACCAGTCTTCACCACCAGCCCCCTGTGCCATCAGCCCCTGGCCCTACCCATCACCCACCCACCTCTTCCCTCTCCCTTGACCAGCTAACTAACCTCAAGAAAGTCCCCTGGTGTTGTTGCTGTTGTTACGTGCCGAACCCCGAATCATAGCGACCCCTCCTTGGGTTTCCGAAGCGATATCTCTACTGAAGTAGATTGCCCAACCTTCCTTCCGAGGACTGGCTGGTGGGTTTGAACCGCCAGCCTTCTGGTCAGCAGTCAAATGCCTTAGGCACTGCACCACCAGAGCTCCTACCTTCACAGAAGCAAAGCCCAAACCAAACCCAGTGCCTGGAGGGGATTCTGATCCACAGCGCCCCTAGAGGACAGAGTGGAACTGCACCACAGGGTCTCCAAGGCTGTCAGTCTTGATGGAAGCAAAGCCCAAACCAAAGTCACTGCCATTGACTTGCCTTGACTCATAGTGACCCCTCCTTGGGTTTCTGAGGCGGTATCACTATGGAAGTAGATTGCCCAACCTGAGCCCATCGCGGCAGCCACTGTGTCCATCCATCTCGTTGAGGGCCTTCCCCTCCTTTACTGACCCTCCGCTTTGCCAAGCACGATGTCCTTCTCTAGGGATGGTCACTTCTGACAACATGAGCAAAGTAGGTGACACAAAATCTGGCCATTCTCTCTTCCAAGGAGCATTCTGAAGGAGTGAATGAGAATTGAATGCTTGAGTTCAAGAACTCTCAAACACTTTAAAATAATAGTTTCACTAATTTTGTTATTTGAATTACAATGAGCTCAAATATAGCAATAATAGTGTGGGGGGTGAAGGACGAGGCCGCGTTTTGTTCTTTTGTATGTCAGGCATTATGAGTGGGAGCTGACTGGAGGGCACCTGACGACATTTATTTTGTTGACAGTACACACAACAACACACACATCCATTGAACCATTTCTCCACGTGCGATTCAGTGGCATGGATTATGTTCTCTGGGCTGGGTAACCGTTCCCAGCCTCCGTTTCTGAGTCGTTCCTTCCTTCTTAGCATAAACTCATCACCCCCAAGCTTCCTAACTAATCTTCTGAGTTGCTATTGTCAACCTGATGCCAAGTAGATACTCCTTTTTTTTTTAATTTATTTATTTTTATTGTAATTTGGGTGAAAGTTTACAGAGCAAATTCACTTTCTTTTTTTTTTACTTTTTTTTTTTTAATTAGGATTTGGGGTGAAGATTTACAGAGTAAATTCACTTTTCATACAGCAGTTC